AAAATAAAAGGACTAAAATGATATTTTTGTGTAAATTTAGAGCAATCATGTTTTTTTATGTGTTCTAACACTTTGATCCTCAATTTAAATTTTTTGCTTTACAAAATAAGTAAATAATAAAAATTTGGTGATTAATTTGTTTACATAAAGATTTTATCACAAGAAAAAATTGATAATCAAAATAAAATACACACAAACACACAGAAAAGTTCAATGTCTTTTAGTGTATTTTGAAATATAATATTAGTTTTGTTATAATACTTTAACTAGTTATCATATCAGTACTGCACTGCTAGCTAGATTAAAATTTAATGTTAAATATAAGAGAAGAAGGGTTGCCATTACAATGTATTTTTTAATATAAAAAAATTTATTAAATGATAAATAAAAACATGATGCATGCACATGATACAATAAATTCAAAAATATATGAGCATATAAATCATAAAAGAGTTATGAATTTAAATTAAAGTCTAAAATTTGGAAGTCAATCTTCATAGTAAAAAGAAAAAAAATAGATAGGCATATAAATATTTTTTTATATGTGTAGGCTATAAAGAGTCCTAATAGTTAACAACTACATAAATATAATAAATTGATGGATAGAGGAAATATCAAAGTTAAAAGGATCATTTTAAAGCTAAATTTTATTTAATTCTATAATAATGAATATTCAAAATAGTTCAAAGGATTAAAATCATATAAAAAATAAGTCAATAATAATCAAAATATCATGTCAATTTTTTTATGCATGTAAATCTAAATTTAAAAAAACAAACATAAAAGGGACAAGTTTAAGCAAATGGCCAAAAAAAAAAATAGATGTGCATGAGCCATCGAGATTAGGCTCATAAGGTTGACGCTCTTGTACTTTTTTAGAAAGTGAATGACATGTCGTACATCTTATTTTTCTTATAAAAAATAGCAAATACGTGTTGTTTGACTATCTAGATTCCAATTGCTAAAATGACAATTGAAAAATAAGGCTCTAACTTTTTTGTTTTTTAACTCAAAGCTTTATTTTTAAGTTATTTTTACCTAAAAATATCTAGTAAACATACTTAACACCTCAATAAACAAATTTATCAAGTCAATGACCTCTAAATTGGCTTAAAAAATAAAATCAAATTGGAAAAATAATATTTCTCAATGTAGATTTATTTGTTTTTTCAACAAGATAAGGGTAAAAAAACACCTCAATCAAACTTTACTTACCAAACAGAACTTATTGATACCACAATTGATGTTTTTTATTGTCGAAAATGGGCCTAACCATCAACTTTCTCTTTATTCACCTATTTTTCTTCCACTTTCTCCTTTTCTTCTCTCAAAACAAGGATATGGTCAAAATGAAGTTACGGAGAAAAAATAAAATTACAAAAATTAAATGGACCAAGAAGGTAGT